TAATTAGTTGTAATTGACATTGAAAAATAGAAGTTTCCCTCTATGTCGTTGTGACCGTATGCTTTCAAAGATATTAATTGACCTCTTTGTCATGATTTATATTTATTTCGATACACAAATAACTTAGTTTGTGAGATAGGAGGACTGAAACGGATGTTCTACCCAAATTTATTTGATTCCCATGTGAAATGCTTAACTCAAATTGAAACTAATTAACAAACTCTAAAGAAGCGCTATAAAGCGACATGGAAGCTGACGCCTTAAATGAATAACAAATGACACAAATGTAGTCAGAAACAAGTTTAAAAATAATTAAATGTCGCTGTGTTTTTCAATTTAAATGCAAACGCAATTGACACTGATCTCTCCTTACCTTTTCACGTGTTCAGCAATGTTTGTGTCACGTGTTCAGCAATGTTTGTGTCACGTGTTCAGCAATGTTTTTGTCACGTGTTCAGCAATGTTTTTGTCACGTGTTTAAGAACCAGGCCAGCTAATGCTATAACACATATATAACCCATGTCAGCATGAACTTTTCCCAATATCTTTATTCGATGTTTCCCTGTTCCGACAGTTCCATATATAACTATAGATTCACTGTGTTATGTACTACCAGAGGCTGCGCGGATGCTACATATGCCGAGGGACTTGCTTGTGTGGAGTTGGGGGCGTTTCTCATTGCGTTTATGGTGATAATTGAAGTATAATACTATGCCCTGTAAAGTAACAGAGTTCCTAGATCATGATTGCTTCAATGCTGCGATAAACGCATTATTCTAAAAACGATCATTAACACCGTAAGAGTACATACCCATCTAATCTACTGTGGTTTAACTATCGCCAGTTTTAATACTAAAACTATCCAGCCGCGACTTTTACCAGTAAATTCCAGTTTTCTACAAATGGAATGGTCGAAATCTAATTAAATAAATTGAAATAAGGAGAACATATTCGGCCAAATGGTCACTGAAAAAAACCATGGGCAAAATAATAAATGGGTTATAACAAAAATGGGCAATAACAGAGGTGCGTTTAACAGAGGCAGGCTATTACTGAGATGGGCTATTTTAGAGGTGGGCTATTTTAGAGGTGGGCAAAACAGAGATTGGCTTATGATAATGTTATGAATTACAGATATGGGTTATGATGATGTAAGTAATTACAGGGATTGGTTATGATGATGAAAGTAATTACAGATATGGGTTATGATGATGTAAGTAATTACAGGGATGGGTTATGATGATGTAAGTAATTACAGGGATGGGTTATGATGATGTAAGTAATTACAGGGATGGGTTATGATGATGTAAGTAATTACAGGGATGGGTTATGATGATGTAAGTAATTACAGGGATGGGTTATGATGATGTAAGTAATTACAGGGATGGGTTATGATGATGTAAGTAATTACAGGGATGGGTTATGATGATGTAAGTAATTACAGGGATGGGTTATGATGATGTAAGTAATTACAGGGATGGGTTATGATGATGTAAGTAATTACAGAGATGGGTTATGATGGGGGTAAGTAATTACAGAGATGGGTTATGATGATGTAAGTAATTACAGAGATGGGTTATGATGATGTAAGTAATTACAGAATGCATAGAGATGGACTATTACATAGGAGGGTTAATGTGAAGACTGTTATATAAAAAAGGCGTAATATAAATGTATAACAGAGATGGGCTATTATAGATGTAGGTCATTATTATTCAATGATGGACTGATGTGTGCTGGTGAATATGATGTGATATGAACATGAAAAATAAATCATTTTTTCAGATTCATAACGCATCATATTTACCAGCATAAAAGCACATTATTGTTTTATGATATGCTTCAACAGTACAATTTTGTATTGGTAACTTTTACTGGAACGAGCCTTTCGTTTAAAATTTAGCCAGGTTGAACCCAACAATTTGGCAACGTATCTTTCGAAGACATCGTCAAGGTTCTTTTTCCTTAAGATAAACATGGAGGACAGTGTTCAGTTGCCGTTTTTGTGTTAACAGCATCTTTAACTTCGAGTAGGTTTTGGAAAATTTCAGATGTAACGGAGCCGAAGCGTTCGCCAGCAGTCATCCTTTGTTGTCGTCTGACATTTCGCGTGCCATTCTAACTGCGCATGCGCTACGACAGGTTCCGGGGAATTCATATATAGGCTATATTTAGAAAACGACGGATAACCAGTCTGCATGAGTTTTTGAGGACTGGTCACGTGTATAGGATCCGACCAATGTGATTTCGAGAAACCTTCAATCATAAAATAAAGCGGTGTGTTGCATGTAGAAAGGCTTGTTATTATAGTTGTGGGTTATTATATACGTGTCCCATATAAATATAGAATAATGTTATAACAGAGGAGGGTTATTAAAGAGTTCGGTTATTACTGAGATGTGTCATTACAGCGGAGATTTATTGTAGGGGCCGGTTATCATACACTTGTATTCAAAGAGAGGTAGGTTATTGCAAAGGTGGGTTATAACTGAGGTTGGTTAACGTTAAACTAAAGATGAATTGTTAAAGAGACGGGATATCGGTATTACAAAGGGAGTGACATTCAGAGATGAGGTATACGGGAACAGCACAGAGCTAGGTTCATACAGAGGGACACTTCTGTTGTGTCTCTGGGAGGATCTATAACACAATGTTGAGTGTTGCAGTTGTCAAGTGTGTTCAGCATGTCATCGAATGAATGAACAGTCTCGACAATGTTTGTATCGTCTGAGGGAGGAACAAACGTACAGCTACGTTATGTATATGATGATCCATTTAACTCACATTTGACGGACTATACCATATATATTCAGAAACGTTAGAGAGGTGACGACAAAGATACGTCAGAAAAATGACGTCAGAGAAATGTCAGAAAAAAGTGATACATTTGTTGCCCGGGATACATCTATAGTTGTTAGGATGTCGATGATCAATCTAGGCTTGAAGTTTTTTCTTATTAATTTCATTGTATCCGCTACAATGCCTGCTTCTATTGAATCTATCTTACATTACACAGATCTGGGTCAAGTTGAAGTGTCCATTACTGTTCAAAGTCTGAAGAATATATGCCATGTATAGCTATAAGATTAACGGTGGTAGCTATCTAGGTATATTGACGTGTTACCGTTAGGCCTGTCATCTGACAAGGTCTTTGTTCTGGATAGCATGAACTCCTAAGTTGACACAAGTCGTCTCTATGTATATTGACGTGTTACTGTTTGGCCTGTCATCTGACAAGGTCTTTGTTCTGGATATCATAAACTCCTAAGCTGAAACAAGTCGTCATTGATTTGATTACACTAAAACCAAAGCTTGTGAAGAAAACATTTCCGAAAAACGTCAAAGTTGGTTAGGAAATGTCGTTATCTATTATTCTTTGAAAGAAATCTTTATTGTTTATTTCCCGTGTGCGGTTGAAGCAGAGAAGCTTGGGTAGAGAAGCCGTTACTTTCTCCTTTCCACAGGGCAATTTTATTTGGTTTTACACTACCAACATTTGGTAGCTGGTTTTGGTTCCTTTTTCTTCTGTCTTTGTCTTTTCGTGATTATGCGGCGGAAAACAATGAAGACGAATAGACGATAATCAATGTTATCTTCCATTAAAAAGAACAATCTGATAACGGATTTAAGGACATGAAATTTCTTTGCTTCGCCATTTGTTTTCTAGTTTTCGATGCAAAATAACGATAATTGTTGTCTTTTTGCAGGATTTTTGTATTACAACTAAAAAACCCAAGGTAAATAAGGCTAATAATCGAGTCTGGCGCCAGTTAGTGTTCAATAATTGATACAATGTATCCATGTTATTGATTATACATATAACAAGAGGAGCCACGTCTGTCCACATTGGTAAAGAGAGCCTCAAGTGTAGGTTTCAGGTTTGGCTGAAAGCATCAAGGCCCGTCATATTCGTTGACGTTACACACCGGAATACTTCACATATCCCGGTAATTGTCGCCTTGATTCAGTTAAGGCCGCTATTATACATATTTCAGGATTTTTGTTTAGACATTGTGATGCCATTATTTTAATGTATGTAACCCCTGAACTAAATTACATCGATCTTTTTTTTCTCGGTTAGTTAATCTTAGTTTAAATATGGTGACTCATAAATAGGTAAGCGGTACACAGACTCGCAAAAAAGGTAACTCATTTGATATGTCTGAAATGTTAAGTCTGTAACTATCAGGAGGCATACAAAAATAAAGGAAAATAAATTAATTTAAAAAAAAAATCGTATCATGTTTAATTTCCGTTGTTGTTTCAATATACTTCCGTTGAGCCTATATGATGTCAGTGTCTTGATTAACGCGCGCGCCCGGTGGCGTAGTCTCGCTCAGTTTCTAAGTTAAATTATTTCAGGCAGACAAACATGATTTAATGACTATATTTGTCTGTGACAGAACGCCAATGCTGACGGTATCTTGTTTGTCCGCAGCCGTCAGAGTTCAGTCAAGTATACATTTCCTCTTCATCACTGTACGCACAACGGACACCGACCTATTTTAAATTTGTATTTCCGTACTTGACCGAAAATGTCCCGGCGACATCACTCATATGGTGTAATTGTGTGTGAAAGCTTAGCGTCGTTTCTACTGATGCCAATATGTTAGCGTACGCACGTATAATCTTTCTCTGCCATGTTAGTAGCCCACTACGGTATTAAAGGTCTTCTTCTCATCTCAATGTTCATCATCGCAAAACATTATCGCTTCTCTCTGATCTGATATTATGTAGCCGAAACGTTCATTAAATTTAAATTGACCAATCCTATGTTTATACCTTTTTATCTATGATCAGAGGTCATCTGTTCGTGAAGCCGAAGGTAGTTACATTATGATGGCAGATAACGGCAGTAAGGTTTACACTAAGTCAGGTATCAGTTTATCATACGAAAGTCTATTCAGTCAGAAGAATTTCCAAGCAGATAATGTTCCATAATATTAAGTGTTGTATTGATTGTTTCTGAATTACGACTTCCGCATCCACTTGTGTTGTAGATAAATACCAGTGTCCGCGGGCGAGGAGCTGGTAATCCGCTGTCCCAGGGCCGACCTTCTTCACCTCATCACACAAAACGATGCACCCCGCGATAAGGGTGTGCTTGGGCCTTGTCAAAAACAGAACATTGCACATCGACCGCAATGAAGGACCGGATTGTAAGGACCTGTTTAGGAAACACCTTTCCAATATCTTCAACGAGTCCAGATACGGAAATGCGTCAACGAATGCACTTCCAGATGGTGACAGTTTCGACGTGTGGCGCTACCTTGCGCATGAATTAGAACCAAGGAGAGATGATCTGCCGACAGTTATCAGCGTCACTATCATATACTGTGTTCTCTTCTGCACTGGAGTGTTTGGAAATGTTTGCACGTGCATTGTAATAGCCAAGAATAAGTTTATGCACACAGCCACGAATTATTACCTGTTCAATCTGGCCGTGGCAGATCTGCTTCTGTTATTGATAGGCCTTCCTCCGGATCTCTATACGATATGGGCAATGTACCCATGGATATTTGGCGAAGCGTTTTGTGTGGCACGCGTGCTTTTTGCAGAGATTTCGACGTTTACGTCGATTTTAACTATAACGGCGTTCACTGTGGAGCGGTACGTGGCCATATGTTTTCCAATGAAGGCGCAGAGAATGTCTAGTTTGTATCGAGCTGTGCGCGTGATATTCTGCACGTGGTGTCTGTCCACGATATGTGCTATCCCCCAGGCGATACAATACGGGGTAGTGTACATCCCCGACCCATGGAACGCCACCCTGATACAGTCTGCTATGTGTACGTTCAAAGCTCAGGAGGGCATCAAATGGACGTTTCAGGTATCGGCCATTATTTTCTTTGCTGTGCCGATGACTTTTATCACCGTGCTATACACTCTCATCGCGATTACCATCCGGAGATCGACCCTCAGTCGAGGGTCCATGGATTCCTCAAGTAAGGAACATCTACGTGGTGTGGAACTCCATGCTCAGCAACAGGCCCGTGCGCGCCGGTCGGTTCTAAAGATGCTGGGTAAGTGCAAATTGTTAGTAACTTTGTTTGATAATTTTTAAGTGGACCATCAAAATAGTAGGTCATTTAGAGTCATCACAAAGTTCTGCGGTCGGCGACTAACGAAGGTCAGCAAGAAAAGGAAGCGCTAGGGTAGAAGAGAAAACGATGTAACCATTTCAGAGCTTTCTAACCCCAAAACAACGCTTCGTCGGGCCTATTCCAGTAATTAATGACATCAATCAAGCATTGATCATTGAAATACATATTATTTGTCATCGTTTTTGCTAACTCAATAAAACTCGAAACTTTACCCTATAGATAACGAATGATGCACCTACACCCAGATACCTCGATAAGCATCAGTAATTCACAGATATAAAGTAATCTTTATTTGCTTCGCTAAAAATGTATTCTCCTAGGTATCGGAATATTACAATATTTGAAAGAAAAAAAACATGATGACAAAGGATAGTATTAAACTAGTTCTTTATTTTTCTCGAATATCACAATTGAAATTCGTTTCTAGAGATGTGTGCAAAATAATAATGATAATTGAAAAACATTCATGTGTTCAAGAGAAGTGACGGAATGTGTTCGATCAACAAGGATTTGGATGACACTTCTAAGGTCGAGGCCTTATAAAGTGATGCAAATTCCTAGTTCGTGATTACATTTTTTAGCAGGCATAGTCTGGATTCCATCAAAATTGGAACGACTCGCTCACACTCAAACCGTGGTGTTTTTGCTCGCTCACACTCAAACTATCGTATTTTTTTTCTCTAAAATTAAGTAACGATATGAAATCTATCAAAGCGTTACGTCCGAATGTACACAAATAATAATTATATCAAAGAGTTCCTTTAGACACAAACCACTCAGTCATAGCTTGACAAAGGGACCAGTCGGTCTCTAAACTTGGCGACACGTTTAATACGTTCATTATTTGTGAACAAAATTAAACTTTAATATTAAATAATTATTTCCCAATTAATGAATCTGATTGAAAACACTGATAGTAGTGTTTCGCTCCAATGACCGAAAGTTTATTTGTTCGTTTAGTCGATAGAGGTAACAAAATTGAGTGCAAATTTTCTAAATATAATGGAGTTTATATGTAATTGTTTTCACAATACCCTAAAATCGCGAAAATAAGCCGCTATTTATTAACGCCTCAGTAGGAATCCCAAGATTATTTTCGAATCGGCCTGTTTTCAATGCCGCCATAATTTCGAAGCCTTTTACCATATACGGCCTTACGGCTTTTTTCCAAGCCGTTTTACTTTCGAAAGTTTGAAACGGTCGATGCCATAGCTGCATATTGCTAAAAATATTTAAAAAAAATCATATACCGTAACAAATAGCATTGGTATAAATAACATCATGCATATTTTACACAAATAGATCAATTGAAGGGCAACGGGGTTTCAAGGCCGGCCTGTTTTCGAAGCCGGCTTATTTAAGAGATCTATTTGACTGAAAGGGACCAAAGCTTATTTTGAAACCAGATTAATAGCATAACATACCAAACTTTAATTATCCCTACATTTTGTCACAACATCTTACGGATCTGCAGGATATAAGGAAAATGGATTTAACAAAATACCGTTTTTAAGACAAAAACACATTTTGGTAAACGCTACTATCCGGTCAAGTTTGGTTATCAGTCTAGTGCTAAGAATACCCCAATCGTTGAAATATAGATCACTACGTATAATATGAGAGAAAGCTGATGATGTCATCTCTAAACATTATCTAAACAGTTATATACTCACATATATCTTATATTCGTTTATACTGTTTTTACTGTCATAAGGATTGTAACCTTATTTTACTTCTGCGAACCGTTCTATCATTATATACGAGTAATACTGTGAACGCAATATCTGTTAGTTAAACTATTATTGGAACAAGAAAATAATCAATTCGTTTGGAATAAATATGTCAACTTGTTTGACAATGAACCCTTTAAATTTTAGGTTCAACGTATCTAACGTGTGGTATAACAGAGTAACATATTTTTCGTAGTTCGGTTAGTCCAGCAAGATTGTAAAATTGTACAGATTTAGTGTAGCAATTTTAAGTCTCATGATGCAAAATCAGTATGATCATGCTGGAAAGTAATAACAGAAAGATGTTGATGTTGCTCCCAATAAAAACACCATATTGAAAATTAGTTTTACCTAAAACACCTCAAGCGTAAGCAAATTATTAAGATCAGTCGAGTAGGGAGTGAGTAAGATAGTATCAGAGGAATTGTAACATGTTTCCAATCTGTTAGCCCTATGTTGTAACGCCGTTTGAATTAGTTTGGCCCACTCACCCGGCCTATGCGATATGATATGTAACAGGTGTAAGGTTTATCAGACCTGTTTGATGATACAAGTACAGGCTGTTATTTCACCGAATAGAGATGTTCCACTCACACTTCCATCTCCACACCACAACGAGTTACCAAGTTTTCAAAAGATGTGGAAAATGCAATCAAATAACTATTAGCTGAATTCTCCGACATTAGAACGTCTTATCTACGGCATAGCTTTGTTGCTATATTCCTGAGCTAAACTACCAATATCATGTGTTTAGTACAGACTGCTTGTACAAAAATAACATACACAATTGTGATACAGTTAATATTTTTTATTTATGATGGCATAACTGGCCGCCACAATTAGGAATTTCTGTCTACAAAATCCATGCCCAGTTGGCAACAGACAAGTAACTGTGACCAATTGCGTACAGTTTAGCAATGTGGCCGCTGCCCGCCAGAGGACTTCGTGGCAGACCACTCAAATCTCTACTGGAATTCAAATTTCTCAATTGACGCGTCCCTGGTAACAATGAACGAGTGCAACACGTTCCCAGTAGATTATAAAACACAAACTGTTGATCTGGGGTCCACTTTAATCCGCCTGTTCCTGGCAACGATGAATAAGAGTAACACACAACCATGGTGTATACAATTACAAATGATCTTGTGCTGATCAAAGACTGCTATTGACCCTGGTTACAGTAGTCAAGTTGAATGTTTTTCCTGGTCCTTCTTCATTGCCGCGACAAAGGATTCCAACCCTCTAACAAAATACAACGAAAGGTCGGAATTGGTAGCATAAATCGCTCGATAAACATCTCAAGTAACTGTCCATGACAAAATATTGAAAGCACAATGATGCGAATACAATTTACCCTTTTTGTATGGCGGTCTGTCTTGAATTTTTCTATTTTGAAAAGGAAGCACATCTCAGTCACATCAACGTTACAATTATTGTCAGGGATTTTGACCCAGTATTAAATACTCTCTTCAAAAAATTAAAAGGCAACATGACAATACTGGTATACATGTATTTATATCTTTTTTTTATGTAATTAATTAATCCAATAATCTCGTAAAATATTGTTATTTATTACATTTGCACCAGTTGTACGTGTATGGAAAAAGAAACTAGTAAAAATGTATAAGTGTTGAAATATTTTCAACTGAATTTATAGGCAATATGAATGACAACTGGCCAAAGAAAAAACTTAACATGAACCTGTTTAATTTGCCTTTGTCCGTTTTTCATTTCAACAATTTTTATTGACAAAGTTGATACAAGTCAATTGGATGGAATAACAGGCAAAGCCTATATAAATTATCTCCAGTGGTGGCTAAATTAACGGATTCTGTTATTTTTATTTGATTTAATTAATGCATCAATTTGGAAATGAAAATTGTAAACAAAAAAAATAAAGGGATGTAACTCCTTCTTAATTAACATGACTGAAATACAAATACATTCACACTTCTCACATCACACTCAAAACACTTCCACAGGTATTATTTATTTTTATAACATTTTACAATTTATACAAGCTATATAGCTATCAAATCACACAGATATTGGCAGACATTGACCAAAAGTCCATGTGCAAATATATGCACAGGTCACAGTCGCCAAAACTGTTAAGTTATTATAATTTTATATGCAAACAGATAGCTAGTCTATGTGTTATTCAATGTATAAGATGGAAACTGTAAAACAAGACAGATTGAACAAATCTTGCAACAAACAACAACAAACAAACATGCTCAACTTAAAACTCCTATGTCCGTAGAAGAATAGCATTTATAGAAAAGTAGGTAAAGTTACTTATTTGTGGAGTATAATTGAAATAGGAATAGTAAGTATAAGAGTATAAAGTATAAGGTCATGGCTGGTTAGATGGTGTAGAGATTAAAGCGACTCGATTTACCAATAAATAACTGTACATCATTAAGTAACTGTCTGTTTGTTAGTCCATCACAATCAAGACAGCCTCGTAGAAAGATGTTTGTATCAATATGGTTATGATTTCCATAATTACGAACAGAAGTAAATAAAGTAAGTCTGAGATCATTAAACAATGGACATTCAAGAAAATAATGGAAAACTGTTTCATACTCAAAAGAGGAAGCACAAGAGGGACAGTCAGTTAAATGGTCATTGAATAAATCAAAAATTTAAATTGCTACAGAAGTTTCTAAGTTGACAAAGAATAATATTGGCCCGTCTATCACCTTCTGTTTTAAAAAATAAGGTTGATTCATTATCGATAATAATATCTTTATTCAGTTTGTGATTAAAGGTTGCAAGAGTTGGGGAATTTAGAAGATCATTATCAGTAGTGTTAGTTGTGCGGCACATTAGAGGGAGGAAACGGTCAAACTAATTGTTAGTTCTACATATTGGTTGATTAAACAGTCTTGTTTGTCTGAGGGAATAGGGATTATTGTTTTGATTGTTAATGAAAGGATTTAAGAATCTTGTAAGTATTGAGGTGACAGCCCATGCACTATTTTATACATCATTATGTGTTTGTGTTTATTTCTTCCTGTTGACAGAGTTTTCCAACCAAGTTCATTATAAAGTTTATTATGAGATGTTCAAGATCGAAGTCCAGTAATGATTCTGGCTGCTTCTAGTTGAATAGATTCTAGAAGTTCTTTAGATTGTTGAGTGCAATTATCCCATACTATGTCTACATATTCCAAAATTGGCCGA